AGCTTAATCTGTTTTGTCATCTGAGAGGACTTTTTTCAAAACGTTTTTTAAGAAACTATTTTTATTCATATAAAACTCCACTTTTGGAGGTATTTTCAAATCGGTCTAGCTCACGTAAATGTTAATATTTTTCCGAAATATTTTGGCGGACGTCTTCAATTGTAATAGCGTTTGTAATCCCAGCAGAAAAACCGCATCTTTTGTTGGTGATACAGTCTAATGTATTTACATATATATTTCGTTTAATTCTCTTTGGTTATTTCACTAGTTAAAAAATGTCTGGGCGGTACATATTGTGTATACGTACATATATGTATGTAATTACATATGTATATATGTATGTATGTGTGTGCATGCATACTTTTCGCAATTGACTGCACTTCATTTGACCATTTCATTGTTATTGACGCTATTTTTTGTTGTAATTAGAAAGTATTTAACTTTAATGTTTGCACACATTTACTTACCTATACATACATATTTAAGCCATTATGTATATATGTATGTACACATGCATGTATATTAAAGTCGACACAGCCACGAAAACATACAATTAACTGCGTGCCAGTGACATTTCGCTGCCATAAACACGTAGCTGCAAGTACATAAATAAATACGTAACTAAATACTTATGAAATTATATCGCTTTTATCGTCAACTACTCTTCAACTTTTTTCTTAATTTTATTATCGATAAATGTGCGATTCAGCATATAATGCTATTTTCTTTGATTGCGTGAATTAAATTTTTTATAACTCACATATTTATGTACATATGTACATATGTATTTAGGTATGCATGTATATTCCCATTTTAGTGTTTTTTTATTTTCTTTTTAATGTGCGTTCAATAAAATGAAATGAAATTGTTTACAGCATATTTATTAGGTAAATATTTAATTATATGAAATTATCAATTGAAAATGAAAGCAGCTAATAATGCAAATAAAAATTGCGAAAGTAAAGAAATGGTAAAAGTGTCATTGTGTTTAATTGTTGTTGTTGTTGCTGTTGCGGTGATTGTTTTTCTATGGCAATATGCCAATAGACGTGCCTGATTCTTGCCCAGTTTTCGCTTTTATTCAAATTTGTTTAACTGCACAACACTTGTTTTCATCTGCAAATTTTATTGGCAATGCAAGTGAAATGTCGCGCTTCAGTTTTAATTTTCACATTGGTAGTCGTGGTTTCTTGCAGAAACATCTTCAGTATCAACTTTTTTTTTCTTGGGAAATTTCATGCTTTCTTCCATTCGTTTTGAACTCTGTTTATTCGATGCGATTTTCGGTAGCTAAGCATTTAAAAAGTACGCATATTTTAAAATTTCGTCGCTTAGTTACACTGTATGTACATACATAAATACATATGCAAATACCTAATTAAAACCTCTTTGGCCATTCAGTGGGTTCAACAATAAACCTTGGCATTCATGCTTATCTTCTTTAGTGCAAATGCCTGAAACTGCACAATTACAAGGTTGTGGCTTTCATGCTTTAATCCCCTTTAGTCATAGTGATTTTGGCTTTCGCTTTTTAAATGCCAAACACATATTTAATCATAGCTACTTATATACATATATATATGTATGTGCTTGAAAATAATGAGCTAGTGGCCATTAAAAAATGGAATAATATTTTAGTAGTGTTTATGCATAATTTTTAACAAATAAATGCTCAAAGTTGCTTTCTGGAGCTACTAAAAATAAAAAATAAAATGAAAATTCAAAAAAAAAATATAATAATTTAAAAAGGTCTTGGTAATATATTTTAGTACTTCAACAAGGCATTCTAGAATGCATTAAACGCTGAACTATTTGTGGTCGAAGTAAAAGCTGGAACCAAACTTCTTACTAATTAAATACAATTTTCCATACTTGTTGTTCCGAATTTTGCTTGAATGCTTTTGCTGTTGCCTGGCTTTTGCCTAAATAAAGTACTGACATAAAAACACCGGCAATTTTTCGCCATATTAAAAGAAGCGCCAGATGGGTATGCTAAAGCATCTCGCACGTAAAATAGTACATGGGCCAGTGTGCGTGGTGTTGTTGAACTATAAAAGCAACTGCGGTTAATTCCAGAGTTGATCCGGATTAAGTCAGAGTTATTCCGGATTAAGTCAGGAGTTAATCCGGATCAACGCTGCCGTCTGTTTTAAGCTTTTATTAATTGCCATAACCACATAGATTTTATTTTGTGCTAGAATTCATCTTACGTTTCGGTATGAATGCCTTGCTTAAATGTTGTTGTTGTATTTTTTAGAGCTTCAAAAAACTGCGTATTGCACGAGAAGTAATGAAATTTTTTCAAAGAGATATGCATCGTTTCAAAGAAAAAATCTCAAGTTTGTCAACAGGTTCATCTTCGTAAGTGATCACTTTCTTTTGTGTCGTATAAATAACGATAAACAGTGGTTTATTTTGTAGTTGTATCGATTACTAAGGTCTAACTTGAACAAAATATGTATTCACTTTTACTATGGGAGTATTTATATGTAAATTCAAAATTTTAAAGCTGTTTTGCTCGAGTTTTCCTTTTTTGAAAAGAGTTGCCACCTGATAGGTAATGAAAGTCAAACAAATTATTACAATATGGGTATCGATCGAAATGGTTTTGAAAAGGCTTTACATATTTCTTAATAATACGTTGTCGGTTGTTTAAAAAATTCAGTTGAACTTAAATAAAGGCAGTAAGAAGATAAAAATATCTATCACGATATCGCTGCCAGTCGAAAGAGGCTGTGGTTTAAAATATTTTGAACAGGATTGCCACGTGTTTGAAAAGTCGAATTTAATTAAAAGTATTCATAAGTTGTATGAAATATTAAAATAAGCGAGTCAACCGAATGAGTGGTAGTTTGAAAATTTGGAATATTAAAGACAGTTGCCACCTATTAAAAGAGGTAAACTTAAATTATTTAATCAGTTAAAGTAACCATTAAAAGCTGGGTATAAATAAAAATATGTTTACAACGCCTTTATTTCTTTTTCAATCGGTGGCAGCTGCATATTTATAACTTCAAAAAAAAAAAAGTAATAAATAAAATTCTTGGCTTAGGAACCAGTATGAGTACCACCGACAATATCAGTCTGTAGAAAAAAAAACTGAAAAAGTTTTGCTAACAGTTGTCAATTTGCGATGGAGAGAAGAACGGAGCAATCTCTTTAAAAGGCTCAAACACTCTACAAATCGGTCACCATACACATCCTTTTTGGAAAACGACTTCAAGCATTTTTCATGCTTTCATAGCCTCATCGGATAGCCCGTATAAAAATCAAGGGAAATCATATTTTTCGAATTTTGGTTTTGGGCTTGGGACAGTTGGCGTGAACCGGAAGCAAAAAAAATGGCCACTTGAAATTTGAACTTGAAAGGGTTATAAAACTGCATACCTTAAAATTGCCTAAAAATTCTTAACAAAATTTTGTAAATTTTAGTTAACATTTTTTTATAACTTATTTTTTACACTTTTACTTATGTATGCATATTTTCATTTTGTGAAACCTGTAATGGTTTTGAATTAATTTTTATCGTGTAACATTTATTTAAAGCCACATAAGAATCTTCTAAGTTTTATAAGTTTCAATTAAAGAAAAAGAAAAAAAAATAATTAAATCGATTGAAAACTGAAGGCTCTGGAACAGTAAATTCCAATTTGGCGCCGCTGCGCGCCGTAACGGAATAGTTAGAGGTGAGTACTATCACTCGGTAGGACCAGGATTCGATTCCTAGATCAAAGTTTTTTTACTAGCAGTCGTACCTCGGCAGGCAATGTCAAACCTTCGAAAGATCAAGCTTTCCTTTTTTTCTAAACTGTGAGTCCCTCCATTTTGTGAAAATAAATAGAAGATAGCAAAAATTCGACAAAATTTTGGTTTGTCAACTGATAAATTATTGCAAATTATTCGTATAAATTCATTAACTCGCTGAGTCAAAATTTTGCAAAATTTTCGCGATTTAGAAAAGAAATTAAATTTTTCCAATACTTTTTAAGTTTTATAATTTCCGTGAATGTTTTTATTTTGTACGAAGATCAAAATAAAGGGCTACCGCATGATGTTGATATTTTAAGGTCCACCCTAATGCATGCCGATTTTTGATATGAAGGATACTTGTTTTTTAAATCTGTGAAGACCTTAAAAATTTTTTCAATGCAGTTTCTTAGTCACAATGAAATTTATAAATTAAATTCTTAAATTCTTTCTAATACTTACATATGTATGTATGTCATCTTCAAAATACTTCAGTTAATCCATTTGCTAAAATTTAAATCAGGGACCGAATATAACAGTTATTGATGAAAACTGTCATGGAAAATTTCACTATGAAGGAAATGTTCTACAACTAAGTGATACATACCGATCGATTTTTTTTTCACTGAGACTCAAATTTTAAAATAGATTTTTATTTGCAATTTCTATACAAAATTAAAAAAAAAAAGAATTATTTTTGATTTTTATATTCTAAATCCAAAATAACAATTATTTTTAGTTTTTATATTATATGTCTTAGATAACAGGTATTGAAGACTTTTATTTATAAAGGTCATCAATAAATGTCAGTCAGTCACTTTTACTTTTTAAATCATTCGTATAAAAGTCATTAACATTTTTCGCAGTTAAGAAGGTGTTGGGAAACAAAAGTTTACGACGACTTATACAAATGACTTTTATAAGTATGATTTAAAAAATAAAGGTCAGTGACTGATTTTTATTTATGACTTTTATAAATAAAAGTCTTCGATAACTGTTATGTAAGACATATAATTTAAAAATCAAAAATAATTGTTATTTTGGATTTATAAAATAAAAGTCAGTCAGATAACGGTTATTTAAGGAGTAATTAAATAAAAGTCAAAAAATAATTGTTATTGAGCGATTTTTTAATAAAAGTTCTAACTGTTACAGTTCCTGATTAAAATGGTTCATACACAGTTTTACTACTTAATTAATCTAGTTGAATAATTAGCCACATAGTGTACTCGTATACATGAGTAAATACATACCCAACTTATGAGTTCGATGACTGAGTTCTTTTAATTACTTGCTGCGTGATTTATTTATTCAATCTTATTTTTAAATTAGGAAAAATATTTTCACTACTTTTGCAGTATTGCAATCAATTTCTTCTAGTATCTTTTTAATTTTCACCCGTTAAAGTCATACACATGCACACGCGCGCTGAATCTACGGTTGTTTTTCGTTTCTAAAAAATTTAAATTTTTCACAATTTCTTTCAGAGTTTCACCTACTTTTGCAAGCTGTGTTTGTTAAAATTTTTCTGCAACGCTTTTGCTTTCTTTTTCGCGCATTAACTTTTTGCGTTGTTCTTCTACTCCAATTTTCGTATTAAATTTGCTTTAATTTGCGGTTCGTTTGTTTAATTTTAGCTACTGTTTTGTTGCTACTGTTATTAATTAATCCATCAAACGCAAGGTGGTAGCACTTTTTGTACAAATAATTTCGTTTTTTTTTTTTTGTAAATAAAATGCTTTTTAACGCTAGCTGAACGCGTCAGTCGTCGTCGTCCCCGTGCCAGGAAAACGAAAACGATTTTCACCGCGTTGCAATCGTTGAATGCTTTTCACGTTTTATGCACTCACTGCGTTTGGCGAAAATTATTGTAAATAATTGCCAGGCGTCAATGACTGCCAACAAGCATGCGCGCGCCAACTGCGGTGGGTGGCTGGCGGTGTTGGTGAAATACGGGCTCAGTTGCAGATTTCTAATCCGTTTGCAACCACTTGGACACACACCACTGACTTTTGGTTTGGCGAAGAATCGAAAGCAATTTTTATTTTATTTTTTTTTTCGTTAACTCACAAGTAATTGTTTTAGTGCAAGTTGCAATCAGTTAATTGAAAGGCACACGAGGAAGTCACTTTTACTAGTTTGCTGCAGTCCGGTTGATTGTCACCGAGCGGGGCACATGAATTGTTTAACAAAGCAGTTTTCCAATCGAGTTACAAGTTTTTATGCAAATTCCCAACCAGTCCATTCAATCACAAATATGGACAAAATGTAAGGCACTATTTATTTGTTTTTTAGTTATCTACTAATTTGCCGCAGCTACCGTAGAGACGCGTCTGCATCGTTTGCGTTTCGTTAACAAACTGAAGAAATGAAAAGCCGTGCGTCGCAACGTAAGTAACTTATGCGCGCTGTTGGTAGCTGCTGGAGCTGCTGCAGATGTTTACTTACCCAGTTGGCTTGTTGGTTGACTGACTCCATGGTTGGTGGCTGGTGGCAGCGAAGCGGTTCGATGGTCGTTTGGCTGCTTTGCCGCTTGACTGCCAAGCCGGTTGTTTGCAATGTTTATTTTGGTGTTGCTGCTGCTGTATTAACCGCAGGCGTCTATGGTGTTGCTACCAATTTTGGCTGCAACTGGTTGTTGTCGCTCAAATGTTGCTGCAGGTTTGTGTCGCAATATTGGCGGCGGCAACATTTGTTGCTGAGAAATGAGCATAGCAAAGTGGCTTGTGCAGGCTTGTAATAAAGTTGAAGGAAAAAAAACCTCGTGAGTGAGTTGATGAGTGAAGTAGTTGAGCCAAAATTTTAATGAAAATAATTGTGTATTTATTCATTGAGCAGGAAGAGAACAGTTTATCGCATAAGTCAGTCGATCACAAAACTCAGCAAATGGAAACAGTTTTAATTAAACAGCTTGGTAAATATTCGCAATGTACGAATATAAAGGAATCAAATTAAAATTGCGGCGTCTTTTAATTGAAAGAATTTGAAGATAATAGTAGATATAACAACGGAGTAGCTCCCTGGTCTGCGTCTGACCCATATTGGAGGCAGCGGTCTTTTATCTAATAGATTCTCTCAAGGAGGGAAATATGGTAAGCTGTCTTGAGGGCAAACCCTCAAATCGACACGCCAAATGTTGGACCATGAAGCTAGGGAAACTTAGGACAGTAGGACAGTAGTACGAATTTTACCAAAGCGGGGGACTGGAACGAATGCCGTGGCAGTTTCAACACGTTTAAGAAACAGATAAAAGTGACCTCGAAACTACCACTGAGGCCAAGCAAATGAGAATATGCATTTGAAGAATCCGGCTCTTCCCGGTTTTCTGAAAAATTGATGGCACATCGAAGACCGTCTAGAAATTCCAGAAAACTTAATGGACGTCCACTTCGTACGGCAATGCAGGGAATACAGTATGTCTTGTAACAGCAACCCATAAAATTTATAGGCAATTCAGTCTAGTAAAAAAAAACGTCACTGAGGATATCAGATCCTTTCAACCCTAAAAATCTCCGTCACCGAATGGACTCACACCAGCCATGCTACAAGTAATAATCGCCACAATAAATTTCTGGCAGACGACTATGTACTAGCCTGTACACTATACCGAAGCCATCGAGGGAGATAATAGTGGTTTTTATTTCTAAATCAGGGAGGATCGACGGACCATCAGTATCTCATAATTTATGCTGCAGATAATGGAGAGACTTCTGAGTCTGCAGATCACCCTACGCTTGTTGGGAGTATAGAGCTAGCGCAATGCCACAAGAAATATCCGCTGAAAGCCCTTCTGGACGTGGAAGGCAGTTTAAGCTATATTCATTTGGCATTCATAAACTCTCCCATGGCTGCGTTAGGACTGGATCCACTGATCATACTCTGGATCGAGTTGCGTATAAGAAGAATCAATGTACCCTTGGGAACCGCAGTGGTAAGAAAAAAAGCCGCACGCAGCAACCCTCAAAGGGGGTTTCTCTCCTGTTAATCGAATTACTGCTTTGTATGTCGAAAGCTCTCTTGGAACTTAGTCATTCTGGTCATAGGTAATTTCATCTCGATCGTAAGCAAGATTCTACAATGCTCTCTTATCGACCTGGCAATGTGAGCATAAAGGAACGTTCGCGGGCTTAAGAGCTCCCAACACCCAACTCGCTCTCTTCACCAAGCTTTATAAGGTAGACGAATATCCAACTCCGCCACACAATGGCGCAAATCTTAAATTTGTCAAAAAAGGTAACGTTTTTGGAATTATTTTCGACTCTAAACTCTCCTGTAAAAAGAATACCGATGAGCACAGAAGAAAGACGCTTAATGCTCTCTACTTCTGTAATACTGATATTGGAAAAGACGGGTGGAGCCCAATAGCTCTGGAATCCATTTTCCTGACAGAAGGGACCGGGAATTTAATATCGTTCTAAATGATGACGAACTTATCATTTTCCCGGATGGCTCCAAAATGGATATTGTAACAGTATCTGGCGTCTTCTCTCATTATTTCTTAGGGAGTCTTATATATTTACGCCCATATCACTTCAGAGTTTCTCAGACTAAGATATAGTCAATTAATATGGCGGCAAATCTAGTAAGCATGATCCACCTGGCTCCATCTAAACCTGCAATCGTTGTTTACAGTTAAGCTGCCAGCAAAGACTAAATCCTTACGCGTTAAATAATTCCGAAGATTCCTCCAGGCTCCTAAACAACATACATATAAACTATCTATACTGGATATGAGGACGCTGTGGTTTTCCGGGAAATGAGAAAGCGGATTTGAGCTAAGATAGGACTAAGAGAAAGCTGTCGGAATAGTAAAAAATTCCCTCCGATTTCTCTTTTCATAAATTGGGAAGGTAATCAGATCATCCATTGGCCACATGGCCCTCAAAACGGTTTCTGAAGAAACTATAGAGACGAATAGGAGATAGAATCGCGAAATCCAAAGAAAATCCCTAAATTTCTGGGCTCCTACGAGGGCCTAGACAGTTTAAGGAAAACTCTTTTCGAGGGTCTTCTAGGACTCGGTATAGAAACAGAGAGATTTAAAGACATGGATAGGCATTGGGAAACCCATTTTGACATCGAAATTGGCCTTTGTGTAACCTTTCGCGTAACCTAACCTAAGTTAACCTATTAGAGTTCTTTAAAACTATCTTCCAAACCACATCGATTTCAGAAATGCCTAAAATTTATTACTAATTCGAGCATAACCCAATTTGCGGGTTAGCGTATTTTTTTAATATTTTACATATAAACAAATAAGCATACTTAAGCTGGCAAGCGTAATTCAACCGAAAACTAACATTAAAATTCCAGGCTTTGTTCAATGCATACTCATTGTTTGAACGTAATTTACCTGATGGCTAATCATAGCTTGGACAATTGAGGATACATTGTGGTTGATGGTACTCAAAATTTTACCACATGCGCTTCATGCCGCACACTGTATGGCGCGTTGCTACAAAAGACTTAAGCAACGAACCTGCTTTTATCTACGCAAAAAAAGCAAAGAACAGATGAACCACAGAGTGAACTAATTTTCAAATAAAAGGCATATTTCTTCAATGCATAAAATAACATGAATATCCCAAACTGCCGTATATGTTTTAGAAAAAAAAAATAAGTTGGCTTTTTTAAGCTGCATATTAGTTGATTGCATTATTCGTTACATAAATATTCGACATAATATTCGCTAATTTACGGTAAGCTATTTTCCAAAATTTAATTTTCTTAGTGTTTTCGTTTGAGATTGCTCCAAATTTTTGTCAATCATTGGCTGCACTATTTTATGTTGCAACAACATGCACAGTGTCTTCGTTACACATGCACAAAAACAACTGAATGTATGTATGGAAACATGTACAGAAAATTACTGGGATTTTCTAGCGCACCACACAGCTGCCCGAGTTGTTTATGGATTTTCTTAATACTATTAAGGTGCATTTGAGCGAAAAAAAATTCAGCCAATTTAAGGCTTTAGTTCGTTTGGTGGTATGTTGCGATATTATGAAATTGCAGCAAATACCAAAATGATTTGTGCAGGTGAAGCGAAGAGGCTTAAATTATTGTTGTTAAGTTGTTTTGGTTATGGCAGCAAGAGCACCTATCGGTTAGCTGTGAGTAATTGACATTGCTGTAATTACGTATTGTGAAATAAACTTAAATTGCATTCAAATACACCTACATATGCACATACCTAAACTATTTGAGGCAATTGTACTTCCTCAAAAAATAAAAATAAAAACTAAGGGATTTGAAGGTGTTGGTTTTTATAAAATGAACAAATTTAATGAGTCAAGTTTTCCCAAGTGTGCCACCCAAGGCTGACTTCTCAATTTTATACATTTCATTGACCGATTTTGAAAGTTAACATGGTGTGCAATATTGACACCAACAAAATATAGTGGGCAGTTTGTAAAATTTCGATTCTTATTTTGTAAAAAAATTGATTTTTTTAATCAATTGATTTTTTTTACCAACTTCTCATATACCTAGGAAAAGAATTCAAAATTCATTTTTTGCGCTAAAAATTCAATTTTACTTTCGTAAAAAAAATTACTTTACCTTTGATTGACTTAAAGCTTTTTACCAAAAAAAAAAATAACCAAGTTTAAAAAAATTTAATGCACATAAAATGAAAAGTAAAAAATAAAAAAAATAATTTGATAATTCTTGATTTGATACTTAAAATTGAAAATTTTATTTTTGGCTTTTCCGTTTATTTGTATTATATTTTTTTTAAACTTAATTCATTTTTTTGGTAAAAAGCGCCAAGTCAATCAAAGATACAGTAATTTTTTTTTATGAAACATCAAAAAGAGGTCGCCCCTCGGCAGATAATGGCAAACTCCCAAGTGTACTTCTTTCCATTTTTTTCACAAAATCAAGAAGTAGAACCCGGTTCGGAGGAGAAGTTCGGCTAAAAACATAGCAAATGTTTAAGCGCCAAACATTCATTTATTGGTATTAAATATGATCCTGTTGTCCTGTTAAGATCCTGTTCATCCTCAAATAACCTAGGATATAATTTTAAAACTATTTGGGGATTTCTCTTAAACTGAAGAAAGTCTTGCAACCTTCGAAAAGCTCAAAACTTTTATTCCGAGGTCAAAATTTGTTTGAAATGAAAAAAATCGTTTTGTTAGATAAACAAATCCGGTTTAGTCGATATTCGAAAAATTAGGATTTCAAAAAAACCGCCTATAGACATACAAAAAAAACTGGTGGAAACCGTTTTAGGAGAACCAAGTCAATTACCCTAGTAGGCATGCCTATCAACTAGGGCTACGATCACCTCACTTCTATAGAAGCTGTCAAGATGAAGAGGAAGAGGAAACGATTCTGTTGTGCCAGTGCCCTACTCTATCCAGACGAAGATCCTCCACTCTTGTTAGGCAAGTCTTCG